GGCAATGACGTAAAATATGCTCTTGCCCTTTGTCCCAGTAATTCCATTTCTGGGAATCTGGCCTAAGGAAATAATCCTAAATATAGGGTAGAAAAACATGTTTCACAAGGATGTTCATTGTGGAGTTGTTTATAGTAGTGTAAAAGGAAACAACCACACTGTCCATGGTTTGGGGGAGCTGTGATAAAATAAAGAGCAGCCAAATGTTTTATAGCCACTAAATGATAGTTCTGGAAATTATTGTCCAGAATATAGGAGGCGCGTGTGATGTAACATTATGTAAAAAAGAAGAAAAAAGAAAAAGGCAAGTTACAAAATTATATGTACCATATGACTTGGGCTCTGTAAAAAAAAAATCATGTATAAAAAATCCTCAGGAAGGTGATATACCAAAGTGCTAATGAGTGGTCTTGGCATGATTTTATCTGAAAGGTTGCCTCCCATTCATCATCTTCCAAATTATCTATAATATTCACGCATTGCCTTTCTTAGGTTTGAGTTATAATTTACATTCAGGAAAATTCACCCTTTTAGCGTGTAGATTTGTGAGTTTTGACAAAGGTATATAGTCAGGTAAGTAACTACCACCATGATGGAGATACAGAATATTTTCATCACCGCAGAAAGATCCCCGTGCCCCTTGGTAACTGGTCCCCACCTGCGCCCCGGCTGCTGGTGACTGCTGGTCTGATTTCAAGCCCTGTCGCTTTGCTCATTCCGGAATGTCATGTAGACGGGAATCGTGCAGTTTGCCTCGCTTTGCTTCTACGTGTAGAAATAACTTAGTCTGCTTATTGTTCTCTTAAATGTACCTCGCAGAGCTGGATTTCCTGGCTTACCTCAGGTGGAGGAGAATTTCATTTTTCCTTTTCATCTGACTCAGCCTTTACCCCATGTAGGAATCTCCTCCGCTGTCGCTCTGATCATCATGTTCAGATTACCAGGGAATTATCAGTTATCTGTGAAATCGTCCCAGCCGCGCGAAAGTACCTAGGACGAAGGAGGTCCGTGGTCAGCCCTGGCTCACACCTGAATCTGAAGAACAGCATTCGGGGGCTTGCGGTCCCAATCGTCCCCTCTCCCTTGCAAGCCTCCTGGGCTCCCGTCTAGGCTCTGTCCGGGAAGATGACCCTGGGGGACAACAACATGCAGCAGTTCATTCATTTCTCTTAATGAACATTTTATTTTAGGACAGTGTGAGAACGTACAGGAAAGGGACAAAGGCGGTACAGAGTTTCCATTTACCCCAAACCTGCGCCCTTGGTGGTTAACATTTCACAGAAACATCGTACCTTTGTCACAACCAATGAACCAATATTGATATGCTATTATTAAAGCCCATGCTTTATTCACGTTCCTTCGTTTTTACCTAATGTCCTTTTTCTGTCCCAGGACCCCGCTGGGGATCCCACAGTGCATGGAGTGGTCAGTCTCTGTAGATGCAGGCTTCTCAGGGTGGGGACGGTTGCTCAGACTTTGCTGGGTTTTGATGAGTATTGGTCAGGTGTTTTGAGGAATGTCCCTCAGTTGGGGTTTATCTGATGTTTTTGTCATGGTTATGCTGGAATTATGGTTCTGGGGGAGGAGGACCCCAGAGATCAAGTTTATTATTTCTCACAGTAGTTCCTTTTATTGGGCTTTTTGGAATGTTCCAGATACTGTGCTAAGCCCTCGACAGATTGGATCTCCTTTAAGGCTTCTAATAATCCTGTCTATTAAATTCTCATTTTACCATTGGATGAAATGCGCTCAGAGAGGTATAGTAACTTGCATAACGTCACACAGTAACAGGCTCAGACACCGGTCCTGTTGAGTCTACACATTTTGCTTTTAGCCAGTGTTGCGTCCAACAGTGGGAAAGCAGTACATCTGCTATTAAAAACCAGTACGTATTTATTTATACCCAGCCTTTCCCCAAAAAGCCTGTGTTGCAACTTCTAATCAAGGCCACACTGAGGCAGCTGAAGCAGGGTCGTGAGAAAGGCAGACGCAGGCGGCTAGCAAGCCCCGCCTCCTGGGAATGGCCCACTGTCAGGAGCGGTCATCTTCTGGAACATGCTGCCATGGGCTTGGTGTGAGCCTAGGGCAGCTCAGGCCCCAGGGAGGCTGGTGGGAAGCACAAGCCTGGAGGCCTCAAGGTATCCTTCTAGAGAGACGAGGCCGGCCGTTTGCTTGGTCTGAATAATCAAGTCTTAACGATTTTCGGGATGGGCCTTTCTTTCTTTACATGGTGTGGTGTGATCTGGCAGTTTCCACACGTGCTGGTGGCCACGTCGTAGCGCATGTCCTCTGGCCTCTGGGTGTATCGAGGGGTCGGTGGGCTGGAGTTTGGAGGCCGAGCGGACCCTGAAGAGGGAGAGAGGGGGGTGTGGGCCGTACAGAAGGGCGCTCGGCACATTCGGTACCCAGGTGCCATTGCTTCTTAAAGCAGATTTCTTTTTTTAATTTATTAATTTATTTTTAATTTTTAAATGTGATTTTTAAAAGAATCCCAAAAGCCACCTTCCCAAGGATGTTATGTGTAGTGATTGTAAGTAGTACGTGGATGAACACTTTTTCATTTAGGGCAATATTCCTTCATTTATTTTTTTTTTTTTTAAGATTTTATTTATTTAACAGAGAGAGACACAGCGAGAGAGGGAACACAAGCAGGGGGAGCGGGAGAGGGAGAAGCAGGCTTCCCGCGGAGCAGGGAGCCCGATGCAGGGCTCGATCCCAGGACCCTGGGACCATGACCTGAGCCGAAGGCAGACGCTTAACGACCGAGCCACCCAGGCGCCCCTATTCCTTCATTTATTAAGAAAATAACAATCCGCTTCTAAGTGCCAGGGTCTGTTTGGGCACTTGGAACAGAACAGGTGGAAATTCTTGCTCCTGGTGCTGGAACACGAGCAGGGGAGACAGTCAGCAGCAGCAAATAACCCTCCACCAGGACCCCAGGCTGGACCCGCGGGTCCCTCTGGGAGCGGCTGCCCCCCTCTCCAAGGCATTTCTTACCTGAGTCTTCCTCCCTTTGGCCTTCTGCTCCTCCCCGAACATGCCCAGCCTGTTCCCAGCCCTGGGCCTTGGCACGTTTCCTCCACCTCTCCAGGGCGCCGCAACTCTTAGCCCCGTGGGCACCCCTATTTGGAATCTGAGTGCTGCGTTTGCGATTTATTTGCCTGTTTTGTTTATTTGTATCTCTTTGCGCCATTGGGCTCCTGTCTCATCCACGGCTGTATCCCCAACACCTGGCCTGTGGGCCTGTGACATAAGAGGCACCTAATAAATACATCAAATGAATGAATGAATGAGCAAATTGATTGATCAGTCTCTTATTTCCTGAGCCTGGTGGCCGATCGTATCAGGGAAATTTGAGGCACCTCATGCCCTCAGCCCTCTCCCCCTCCACCACCACCGCCGCCACCACTGTATCTCCACTTTGGCAGACGGAAGTGGACATTTAAAACCTCACGGAGGTCCTAAATCCTGATGGTAAGATGAACTTGTCAGGCCATGGATTTCAAATCGCATCCCCTCTTGCTTGTGGCTCAGCAGAGTAGTTAGGGCACCGAATCCTGAGTCACCAGCCCAGTTCAGCCCTGGTCAGCCCCCTTCCTAGCTGGCTGAACGTGGGCAAGTCGCAGGACATCTCAGCTTCCCCATCTGTCCGATGGGATGGCCCTGGCACCTGCCCCGTGGGACTGTTGTGAGGATGGAAGGAGAGAGTGCTTGTCCCCTGCCTAGGGAGTGCTCGGCACCCGTCAGGGCTTGGGAGATGTTAGCTATTACATTCTGCCTTTTTGGCTATGTGACACTCGCCCCTGATTCTGTTCAAGTATGGCTTTCTTGGGGTCAGAGTGACAAGGACCCTGCTGGGACCTGGTGACCAGTGCATCCCCCTGGCTCCTGCTGCCTTCTCTCCAGGACAGGGGAGCTCACTCAGCAGTGAGCAGTTGTGAATTTCTCTCTCCCCACCCTCACCCCAGCATTGACCAATGATAGCTGTTACTGTTCTTTCTTTCCACACAAATTGTTGAGCCCTTGCCACGTGCCAGGCACTGGGGAGAGAGGGCAGGGACCAGGACAGACATGGGCCTGACCTCCCCGAGCTGCAGCCTGGCCAGGAGGCAGACATCAGCAGGTGACACACAGTATCAGTCCACAATAATTAAATAGGGTGTGGGGAGCACCGAGGGTCCAGGGAGGGATGTGACCAGGTGGGTTATAGGGTCTGGAGGGTAGCAGGGCCCCCCGAAGTCCCTGTGCACCTGAGGCCTGGACAGTAGAAGAAGAGAGGCCAGGGATCAGGCCACAACCTTTCTGGGACAAGGGGCAGGCTGAGTTTGCGACGCCATCGGAGGGTAGGCTGTGGGGAGTGCAGATGATAAAAAGAAAGCAGGTGGGGCTAGAGGAAGGAGCAGGTCCTGACCCGTTGGGCCTGGCGAGGGTGGACGGGAGTGTGGGTTTCGTGCTTGGGCCACTGGGAGCTGTGGAAGGACACTGAGCAGGGTATAAGGGGATCGAGTGTGCCGACGTGGAACGTGGCCCTGGGTGCTGGGTGGGGAGCACACATCTGTGGAGGGAGACAAGACAGGGAAACCGGTGGGGGTCCATGACTGCTTTCTGGGCAGGAGAAGGTGGTGGCTTGGCCACAGTGAGGGCTGGAGAGATCCAGACTCTGCCCTGTGCTGGGCCCCACAGATGCCCGAGGAACACTGCACAGTCTTTGCCCTCAAGGTGCCCCCAGGCCAGTCACGACTCTGCACCCCTAACCGTGTGGGCAGGTTTCCACCATGACCTGTTTCCGCCAGCTGGGAGGCTGCCAGCCAGGAAAGGTGGAATTCCTTTGGTTCCCAGAGTTGCCCAGTGTCTGTACCAGTCTGCTTGTTGCCAGGGTGGGGATGTTTTTCGGAACCTTCTTCTGAGGCATGGATATTGTAACCAATGTGTCTTTTCTTTTTCTTCTTTTTTTTCTTTTTCTTTTCTTTTCTTTTCTTTTTTTTTTTTTTTTGCTGCAGCCAACTGGGTACATGGAAAACTCAGTCTCCTACAGCGCTATTGAGGACGTTCAGCTGCTGTCCTGGGAGAACGCCCCGAAGTACTGTTTACAGCTCACAATTCCTGGGGGAACGGTCTTACTGCAGGTAGGAGAAACAAACATGAACAAGCAGTTTCTTCTGCCCTGCCTCCTATGCCCTCACCCTCCTCTTTTCCCTCAGAGGAAGACAGCCAACCACCAGGAGGAAAGGTTGTTTAGCTTAGGGTGCTTTTTTCTCCAACATAAGAAAGGTATAAACTGGGGCTCTCTGGGGGAAAGGAAGAGGGAATGTGCACAGACTGAGCTCCTACTGCATGCCTGCTCCAGCTCAGGAGTTTTATATCTTATGCTTTTTTTTTCTCTTAACAAGCCTGAGAAATAGGTCTTCTGGTCTCCATTTTACAGATGAGGAAACTGAGGCTCAAAGCCATGTTGTTAGGCCTTAAAAGGCTATAGAAAAGCAAGTAAGCAATGGGTGCCACATTTTGCTGTACTTCAAGTGAGGAGGAGGTTCTTCTTGTTGGTCTAAGTCCTGAGACTGTTAGAAATATGAGCTGTCTCAGGCGCCTGGGTGGCTCAGTCATTAAGCGTCTGCCTTCGGCTCGGGTCATGATCCCAGGGTCCTGGGATCGAGTCCCACATCGGGCTCCCTGCTCGGCGGGAAGCCTGCTTCTCCCCCTCCCACTCCCCCTGCTTGTGTTCCTGCTCTCGCTGTCTCTTTCTCTGTCAAATAAATAAATAAAATCTTTAAAAAAAAAAAAAAAAAGGAAATATGAGCTGTCTCCTTGGGAAGGGGTGCATTTTGTGTGTATCGATCGGGGCTGTTGGTTGGAAATGATGCAAACATTCAAACTCTGAAGCAAAAAGAATTTGAAGCTGTAACTATATTAAGGTAAATGGGAAGTCTAAGAGAGGCCTTCAGGCATAGTTTGATCCAGGAGTCCAATGATGCTAATAGTGCCTCTCTCTCTCTCTCCATCTCCTGGTTCTGCTTCTGTGTGTTGGCTTCATTGTCGGGGAGGGTCTCTCCGTGCATGGGAAAGATAGACTTCTGTCCTTTTAAAAATGTGAGAGCCTATTTTCCTTTTGTATCTTTCTATAAAATCTCATAAAAAATTCTGATTGGCTCTGCTGGAGTCCCATGCATCCCAGGGAATGCCCTACCCTAGGTTACATACCCACCCTTGACCATAGGCAGCTGTGTACTCTGATAGCCCTACCAAGACCTTATGGTCGGGGAGAGGTGGGTCCACCAATAAAAGAATTGTGACAGAAAAAATTGCTGTAGTACATATACACGACATGTTCCTTATCATTTCAGGCAGAGCCATCCCAGTTTCCAGCAGGGACCCCAAGTCAGAGACTCCTCATTAGAGAGAATGCGCTCTCTTTGTTGGGAGAACAGGCCTTTCTTTTAGGAACAGTTTCTTTCTGTCACTCCAGGGAAACTGCCCTGAGCCCAAAGAGATGCTTCCCTAAAACATGTTTCCAAAGTGGCCACTAGATTGTGTAACAGCGTTCCAGCCAAGAGGCACACAGTTCAGCCTCTGAGGAATGCGGGCCTCAACGAGCTCACTGTAACAGCTAATTCTTTAGAAAAATCCTGTTCTTTACTGTCATCTTTTGGAGGACACCGAAACCATGCCTGCCTATGTGTTTTCTTCCTGACTCTGGCATCCTCCATACCCGGCCATCTTTCTTTCTTTCTTTTTCTCTCCTCTCTTTCCTCTTCACTTCCAGCCAGCAGAGTTCTCCTGTCTGTCCTCCCGGCCCATGTGAGCTGGGGCCTGAGCAGCAGAGGAAGATTCAGGGGGGCAATGATAGGGTTCTGTGAAGAAGCTGAGCTGGTCTGTCCCCTGTGCTGGGGGGGTGGGGAGGCAAGTGAACCCCTCGGCCCCGTCCTTGAAGAAGTCCAGGGCCCTCCGGGGAGCAGAGCTATAAACACATGGCTGCAGAGACAACAGCTAAAATAGAGGCAGGTCCCGGAGGACTGGGAGCCCAGAGCAGGGAGTGACTCACTCGGTCTAGGGGTTCCAGAGAAGGCTCCCTTTACAGCTGGGTGTAGATGGGTGAGTAGGAGTGTGCCAGGATGGGGGGCACGTACTCAGGGCAGAGGGAATGGGGGTGCAAAGCATGAATGTGGGAGAGGGGGAGGTACGTTCAGGGCTCCCTGGATGTGTCCAGAGCTGTTGGGTCATAGCCAGATCTTACTGGTCTTGTTGGCGGAGTGAAGAAGCCAAGGCTATGTCCTGAGGGCAGTAGGGAGCCATTGAAAGCTCTTAAGTGGTGAAGGGAACAATGGAGGGATCCGTCTAGTTGCAGGGCAGAGAAGGCTGAATATGGGAGTGTCAGAGGGAGGTGGGGGTGGGGAGGGGAACCTTGAAATTGTCCCGCTGGAGGATGGATGGCCCTGAGCCCCCATCTTCTTGGGTGTGTCGTGGTTGGTGCTTCGCCAGCAGGAGGACCTCATTGCTTCTGGGGTCGGAGGGGGCAGTGTACCCCCCAGGAGGGCTGAACATCAGGGAGGCTTGGAGAGATGGGGGTTGCCCGGCAGTGGAATGTCCCTTTAACCCAGGCCGTGGCTGCAGGCCGGCTGTGATGACTCGCCTGGCTGGGGCTGCATCCGGCAGTGGCCTCACGTCAGAGCTCCCCCTGCCGAGCCGCCAGGCGGGCCTGCTCCAGCATCCCCCTCGCTCGCTCCCTCACTGCCCCCCCCACCCCCAGCTCCGGCTCCGTGGACAGAGGCTGGAGCAGGAGAGCAGGACTCAGAGCTAGGACGGGGAAGCAGACACAGCCCTCTACCCCATTACTCGGAGAACCCAGGTGGGTGCAGCACCCCCCTCCCGCCTCAGTCTCTCCTCCTGCCACTTCCATCCACTTCCACCTTGCTTCCTTCTCATCATCACCCTCCTCCCCCCTCCTGTGATTCATGGGTGGCGTGTGGCCGTCTCGTGCTGTAAATGGCTTCCGAGTCATCTTGGGGGTGGGCGTTGGGCTGGGAGGCCCCTGTGATGGTGAGGCGGCTAGAGGGCACCTGGAGCCCCAGGCTGGTGCCCTGAGGGGCCAGGCATGCGTGCCTCACATGCCCTTGTGACAGCTGGCGGGATGCTTTGCTCTGGGTTTGTCCCGGTTCAGGTGGCAGGCCCCCGAGGGGTGGCATGACAGAGCAGTCCTCCCTGCTGTGGGTGGAGGAAGGACCGAGAACCGCCCAGGTGTGCCCGGGGGGCAAGGCCGATGGGACGAGCTCCGTCTGGGTGCTCCTGGTCGGCAGAGGATGAAGATGCCTTGAGTCGTGCTGTCCACAGCAGCCACGGGCCACACAGGGTGCCTGCGTTGTAACGTATTACATCAAACGAAGAATGCAGATCCGAGGGCCACTGGCCACATTTCCAGCGCTCGGTAGCTGCCTGGACCTAGTGGTTGCTTATTGGGCAGCCCAGATGAAGAACACCTCCATCATCACAGAAAGTTCTGCTGGATGGGGCTGGACCCTAGCACTTTTCATTCTGACCCCGTGCTCCACGCACTGCTTCCCTGCTGGAGGAGGTAGCCTCCCAGCGCCGGAGGGTCTGGAGTCTTCCAGCATCGCTGAAGAGGGTCATGTCCCGCTGCACATGCGCGGCTGTTCTCTACCTAGGAGTGGTGTTGGGGCTGCAGGAGTCCCCACCCTCACCTGCCGGTCTCTCGCTCTGGGGGGCTCTCTGTCAGCTTCTCCGTATCCAAGTGAATCTGTTTCCTCCCCTCTCCCTCTCTCTTTCTCTCTCTCCCTCCCTCTCTCTCTCACCCACTCTTTCTTCCTCCTTATCTCTCCCCCATCCCCCTTTCTCTCTCCTTCTCTTTCTGTCCCTCTCTGTCTCTCATTCTCTCTGTCTCTCTCCCTCTCTCTATCTCTTGCTGTGTTTCGCTCTCTGCTTCTCTTGCAGTTTCTTTTTCTCTGATGTCTTTCTCCAGGCCTCTCTCCACCCCAAGCCCTTCTCTCTGTGCCTCTCAACTTAACTCCCTCTGTGCCTCCTCCTCCCTCTGTTCCTCCCGCTCCAACCTCCGTCCCTCTCCCAGGAACCTCCTTACAAAGCTGCTTTGTTAGAATTTGAATTGGTGCCTCACTCAGACCCCTGGGAGCTGACCTATCCGAGTTCAGGGAAGGTTAAGAGCCGCTCTTAGGCCAACGTGCCTTCTCCCAGCCCAGAGACACCGAGCACTCTGCCAGCAGGTCGAGTCGCCAGACAAAGGCGCCAGCCTCCCAGCCTGGTCCAATTGGTGTGTTTCTGGATGCTTTGTGTTTTTCAGCATGAGCTCCCTAATGCCATGTTATTAGAATCCCCGGGTGCAGAAAGGACCTATTTATCTTCTTTACCCCCTTAACGCCTTTTGTGCTGGTGTTTCATTGTGAGGAGGTAACTACATACGAACATAAATGGCCCGATGAAAGCATCCTGGGGGGCTCCTTGCCGGCCCATGGGGTGAGGTGGCCAGCATTTAAGAGCCCCATGGTGCTGATCATCTGGGGATCTCGGCCTCGCGGTTGGGTGTCCGCCCGTCCAGGGGAAGTAGACAGAGCCCCCTGCTCTGTTTTGGGCGGAACCAGAACAAGGAGACTCTCCTTTCCTGATGGTCTCCGAGACTGGCTCTTCTCCCAAGAGGATCTCCAGAGGCCAGGCGGCAGGGGCAGGGACAGGGTGGGTTCCCTTCTTACTGGAAGCCGGCGAGAAAGAGCTTTCCGGTCTGAAAAGCACGTGCTGTTTTTTCCCTAAGAAGTTGGGCCAGGAAGGAGAACTTGGGAACAGTCACCCATAGTGCACCCTTGGCTGTTTTTCTCACCTCTCGAGACAATACAACAATGAGAGAGAACTTGGCAACTTTCGAAGAGGAAATTAGGCAGAATTTGCCTGGAACGGGGCCCTTCCAGTATTCGAAAGATTTATCGCTAGGAGAAGTTGGCGCTGGCCTGAGCAGGCCTGCCTGTTTCCAGGGGCTCTTTCCCATGCTTGAATCCAGTGACCCTCAAGACTCTGAGCTATGTCCCGTGTCCCATGGGGCCACGTTGTCCTGGCTTGGCTGCCCGCACAGCAGTATGGAATCTCTGTGCAGAAACTCACCGTGTCCCCC